CCTCCCCTCTCTCATGTGCTCTCTCTCATTCTCTCTCTCTCAAATAAATAAATAAAATCTTTAAAAAAAAAAAAAATCCAAACATTATGGACTCTTAAGATGAATGTCACAACCTGCAAAAACAAAATTGGTTGGAAACTGGTTCTTGAGCCAAAATAGCATTCTGTAATCTAATATTAAAAGGAGGGGGAAATAAATATTACAAGATTAAGTCTTTCAAGATGACAATTTAACCTAATCTTGCAGCGATTCAACAAGTCCTCAAGCTTGCAAAAACTGCAAAAAAATTTTCACTCTTAAATACCAGGGTGTTATATATATCCTTTAGCAAGCGTTAAAAAAAAAAAAAAATTAAGAAAGAAAAGGAAACACTAGTGGTTAAGAGATTCTTCTCCAAAGTGGTAATATTAAAAAAGCAACTCTTCAAATTACACATAGATTACGCTTGCCAGGAAGTAAGACATTTCTTTATTAGCCAAAGCTATTACTAACTATAAACTCAGCGTAATGACAATGAAGACTTTTCACAGATCGATCATCAGTAACCATCATATATCTTGTATTTTGAATACCTAAATCATGTAACATAGTCTTACCAGGGTAAAAGTATAAAGTGTTCCTAATTTTCACATTTCCAGAGGACTCCCATGTGAATACTGGGTCATTTCTCCCAAATCCACACTAATTATGTATCAGATAACATCTGTACGAGTTATTAGCATTATCACACGCCCTAGAAGGATTTCTCGTTTTTCACTGATATGCAAAGATTCAAAATTTCCACACAAGAAAGGACAAATCTAGCAAAGACAGGTCTTCTTTCACTAGAAAAGATAACTCTATGCTAATAGGTGCGGCATTCTCCGATGCAAAACAGAACTTAACTGAGCATCTATTACTGACACGGGGCAAAGCAGACCACCAACTCCACCCTACTGCAGAGTGAAGGGGGATGGGAAAGGGGCCTGGATCGGGTGACGACGAGGGCCAGACCCACGTCTCCCGCCTTAAGGGCAGGCGACGGAACGCCTGGCTGAGAGGGGGTGTACGGCTGGGCCGGGACCCGGGCAAGAAGGAAAGGGAGGCAGCGGCAATTACCGATGTTCCTGTGACCCTGCAACTGCTCCAGCGCCGCCCTCTCTTTGCGGAAACCGTACTCGGCGGCCGAGGCCGCGGCGCCCGTGGTTCCCGGCGGTAAGAACTGCTTGAGGGCGCCGGGGGGCGAACCGGGGGTGCCGCAGCAGCGCACCCGGTACACCGAGGCCGAGGAGCCGCTCCCCAGGCGGCTCTGTACCTGCCACAGCCGCCCAAAGGCTTCCAGAAACCGCGGCGGCTCCGCGCCCCACGCGCAGCCGGATCCCGCCATCGGTGTGGACGGAGGGCACTGGCACGGCAGCTGAGGCGACGCCCGGGGCAGGCCGGCAGGGCCCGCGGTCACATCCCCGCCTGCCGGACCAGCGGCTCCGCAGGGAGGGGCCTGCAGCCGCCTCTCCGACTGCCGGGACTTCAGGCCGCCATGACACCGGAAACCGAGTGCACCCAGGTCCAGAAGCCGGAAGTGGAGGAAGAGCCAATCCTGCAGGCCCGAGGAGGCGGGCCCAGAAGGGGCGGGTCTAGAGCTGACCAGGGGAATTGGGTTTTGGAGAAAAGCCCGGAGCTGAGTTGTTAAACTCCGGTGAGTGCTTCCTGCTTAAGGCCAATGCTGAGTGCTTTCTCACACGTTACCAGGGGATAAGACTGGTCCTTTTTCTTGTTGAGGCCTGTCCCTCACCACTGGGAACCCAGGAGAATGAAGGGCAGCCTACATTTCTCCTAGACGGTATCCCAAGGGAAATAGCCCAGTTACTGCAGGAGCGGGTTCGCCACCACCGCACCCCCTCACCCGCGGTCGCTAGCAGCCATAACTCTGGAAGCCCAGCCTCTGTGCTCCTTAGTGCACTTCTCCTTACCAAAATGCATGCGCCCCGGGCGAACGTGGACCTTTTACAAATTTGTATGTTTCGTGTATTCATTCAATTCTTTTGCTCATTTAAAAACGTTTACTGGGTAGCAGATGTAGCAAACAAGACTCCCGATCCACAAACGAGGGTGTGCAATAAATGTAGCCTTCCTTATTTTTCTGTAATTGAACTTTACCTACTTCAAGCTCCATTAAGATAGGGTGGCAGAAATTTAGTCTCAATTTGCCCCCATCCGCTTTTCCTCAGGTTTTGTCTAACTTCCCAGGCAGGTGGGGTAACTTAACGTGGTGCAAAATAGAGGCTGAGGAGCCATCTGCTCTTCGGTATCCTGGGTCATCAACTTGTCTGGTTGCTGCTGAGATGTGCCTTATTTCTGTCTACATGGCCCTTTCGGGGTCTGGAGTAGGGAGAGCTCTGTGCATTTTCCCGCTATTTCTAACAAGCGTTTTTCTCTATGTGAAGTCAATACTAATCTCTCAAGAGCTTGGGATTTGGGAATATAAAAATCAAATAAAACTCACAGGCTCTTCTAAGGCAATGAGCACAGGCGTTTATTTGCTTATATAAAGGGAAGGCAGAGTGGGGAGAGCACTTAGGTCCTGAATAGAGAAAAGAGACAAAATGGAAATGAACTTGGACTTCAAGTAACTTGAGTGGAGAGATTGAATTAAACATGTATATCAATATGATCCAAGGAGTCAAGGTAAAAATGCTCTAAAGGAGGTGCAGATAAATTGCTAGGACTCTGTAGAAGAACTCTGAGCAATTCACATCTTAGAAAAGTGTGAGTAAAAAGAAGCATTTCGTTCCAGTCTATCTTTTTGACGAGATTGGGCGCGTTCAGGGTGGTATGGCCGTAGACCAGTCTATCTTTTTGAAAGAGCATATTGTAATCAGAGAGTAAATGCTGAACTTGTAGAAGGTGACTAGGTCCTCCTTTTGAAAAATAGCCATTGTTATAATCCATATCTTGGTTACATATAAGCCGTTCTCCTGAATGCTACAAGCAGAAGTTACCAGTTTGAAACCAATCTCCTGTAAAGCTTTATTTCTTTTGCTTTTCCAGCCTCTCTTACACTGTGATGTCTTCCCTTTGCTCCGTGGCTGACAAACAAGGTAAAGGAAGTAAAATGTATAATTGAGCCACATTCAAAAGTGGTACCAAGAAAAACCCAAAACAGATAAGCCTCGGAATCCCTTTAAACAGAAGGGCTGGCCCATATTTTAATTGTTGAGCTCTTGAAGATCCAAATCCTTCAAGCATGAAAGTAACAACTCTGGTTCCAGTCTCCAAAATGGCCCCCAATGATCCTTGTCTCCTAGTGTTCATGATCTCTTACAGCACCTTTCACCTTAAAAAGGGCTGACCTATGTAACCAATAAGATATTGTGGAAATGATGGGGTGTGACTTCCTGGGTCATAAAAGACATTGCAGCTTCTACCTTGCTATCTGATCCCTTGCTTTGGGGGAAGCTAGCTGCCTTGTCATGGAGACCCTCTAGACTTCTCCATAGGAGGAACGAAGGAACTGAAGCCTCCTGCCAACAACCATGTGAGTGTGCCATCTTGGAAGTGGCTTTTCCAGTCCCAGCAAAGCCTTCAGATGACTGTAGCTCTGGCTGAAAACTTGACTGCAAACTCATGAGAGACCCCTAAGCTAGAACCTCCCATCTAAGCCATTCTGAATTCAATTCTGCAGAAATTATGTGTGACAATAAATATTTATTGTTTTAAATTGCTAAGTTTTGAAGTAATTTTTTAATGTAGCAATAAAAAACTATGAACTAGAAAGGAATAAGTATTTAATTCATGTCTGCAAAATTTAACATTATTACAAAATTGCTTTGTAGACCAGTTGCATACATTTATGCTGTAATTAGCAGTCAGAGTACATGACTTACAACACCCATATCAATATAAAACATTCTTATTAAAATTTTGTCTTTTTAATTTTATAAGCAAAAAATGATATTTTGAGAGTTTTTGTTATTAGAGTATACCTTTTTTATACTTTTATTAGATATTTTTATTTTCTCTCCTGTAAATGTTCTTGCAAGATCACCTGGTAGATTTCCTTTTTCCCTTTAGTTTCCTCACTCCTGTTGTCTTTCTGCTTATATCCTCTTCTTTCCACCTGGCCAGGAAATACCAGGGAATCACTTGGAATTCCACTTTTTAACTGGAAGGAATCCACTGCCCCTCTCCAACCCATTCTTTCTTCTCTCCTGAACAGTATCTCTTTGCAATGTGCTATGGATTGATTATTTGTGGGACCCCTTCCAAAAGAATTAATATGTTGGAACCCTAATCCCTCGTATGATAATATTTGGAAGTGGGGGTTGGGGAGGTAATTAGGCCATTAGAGTGGAACTCTCGTGCTGGGAATAGTCTCTTTTTAAAAAGAGATACCGGAGAAAGGGGCACCTGGGTGCCACAGTCAGTTGAGTGTCTGCCTCTTGATTTTGCCTCAGGTTGTAATCTCAGGGTCGTGAGATCAAGCCCCACATGGGGTTCTGTGCTCAGTGAGAAGTCTGCTTGAGATTCTCCTTTTCCCTCTCCCCTCCCACCCCCCTCTCACGTGTGCACACCCTCTCTCTCTAAAAAGAAGAGAGATACCAGAGAGCTTGTTTCCTCCCTCTGTTCCCCATCATTGAAGTCATTATGAGAAAAGGGCTATCTGGAAACAAGAAGAGAACCTTCACCAAGAACCTGACTGTGCCTGGCACTGTGATCTCAGAATCCAGCCTCCAAGATCATGAGAAATAAATGTTTCAGCCACCCAGTCTATGGTCATTTGCTATGGCAGCTTGAACTAAGGCGCAGTGGTTGACACAAACTCTGGCTCCTGAGGATTCCTATAGAGAATCCGTTTCTTCCTGGCATTGTAAATACCTGTTTTAGGAGACTTCGTTCTTATTCCCTTCCTCTACACCTTCAGGTAGGTGAGTCAATTTGGTGGTCTGTCACAACATTTCCCATCTTTGCAATTTCTACATCCCCTTTAATGTCAGAAGCAGCTTCAGAAAGAAGTGGAACCAGGTTTTTTGGTGCTTTCCCTGTAGGTCTGGAGAGCAAGCCCTGGCTTCAGAGTCAAACCTAATTTCAATCTCCCACTGATGTCTATGCGACCCCAAGTAAATGAACCAAACTCTCTTGGTCCTAGTTTCTTTGGCTTTAAGATGGGATGGAATATCTGTTTTGTTATAATGAAGTAAAACAACAAATGTAGATCTCATGACACACGGTGGGTTCTCAGTAAGATTGTTCCCTTTGATGTAGTTTTGAATGTAGGTGAGGTCCGGAGCCCAAGGCCAAGATAAAATTCTTGAGACATCAGGACCCTTGGGCAAAAAGAACTGCACTAGGGTTGTGAGGGGTGACTGATTATATACTATGGGGTTGGGAGAGGTAAGGAAAAAGGGAGGTGTCCAAAAGGACTTTCATATGCTAAGGAAGACCCTCAGGGTACCGGAGGCCTTGCTATTACCAACCTATTACCAAGCTAAGGTTGTTTTTCCCTCTAGCAAAGCATTAACATTAAGATAGTTGGAAGTTTCCTGGAGGAATGTCACACAGATCCCATGGGGGGGTGGCGGTGTTGCAGGGGAGTCAGCTTGTGCTTTGTCCTTGGCTAGCCTTCTGCTCCCTCGTCTCTTTCACTTATTTCTTTTTTAAAAAATTTTTAAAGATTTTTTATTTATTCATTTGAGAGAGAATGCATGGGTGCATGAGCAGGGGGAGAGGGTCAGAGGGAGAGGGAGGAGCAGACTCCCCGCCGAGCAGGGAAGCCTAATGTGAGGCTCAATCCCAGGACCCCGAGATCATGACCTGTGCCCAAGGCAGACGCTTAACCGACTGAGCCACGCAGGCGCCTCTCACTTATTTCTATAATTCCAGGCTTGGACTTAGCCCATCGGAACAAAAAGAACCTTACCTTGGATCCTCCTCAGGGGACTGCAGAGATGCCACAGATGACTAATTGTGCCCCTTGCCACTACTTCTAAATATTTCCTCCAGATATTCTGTCCCCTTGTGGTATATAAGGGGCCTGAATCATATTTCCTTTCCCTGTACAAGTTTACTGCCCTTCCGAGGGAGGAGATAACACGTGGTGCAGGAAAAGCATCTAGAAAGTCAGCATGGGCCCGCCACGACAGGGAATTCCATCACCTCCGGAAGGCTGAATGTGAAATCGGAATGGCTGGTGACTCGAGATCCGGGAGCAGTTCAGAGTTTCTTGTTTAGAGAGTGCACTGGTTCCCTCTGTCGTTGCCTCGAGACATTGCAGCCTAGAGGCAAGTCAAAGCACAGCAGAAAGAGGCTTCCACACTCAGGGTACAATGGGGAGAGGGAGGCTTTTCTTCACCAGGCTGTAAAGGGGGTGGCTTACCCACTGGCTCTAATCCCGGGATCACTGTCCTTGGCCAAAGGTTTGCACAAGAGAGCTGGGCATGTGCATTGACGTTGGGGCTGCAGCATTGGAGCCCAGGGAGGGGTACGGGGACTTGGGGAGAGAAAGACAAATCTGGGACCAAAAGGAAAACACTGTGGTGAGAAA